TAATGCAGCCAACTCTCAAATATCAAGCTTGACGGTCATCCAGCTAGCATCAACTTGGTGAGATCTATCACACGGAATGAGTGAAAATATTGACAAGCTGTTATTCCGACTGTGAGAGAATTTTAGGGCACTTCGTACCCGTCGCGTAAGGTGCAATGTCATGAGAACACAAGCCACTCCCCACGAGTACACTGTAGGAAGCTTGCACGGTTTCATACTCGTAGTAGCCCACGGTAAACTTACTTTTGTTCAGATCCCATACATGTATACATTCATTCAAACCACGTCCAATGATTTGGTACATGGGGTGGATAACTCCATCACGTTCCCGGTACACAGACTGCGAAATCACACGTCATACAAGCTGAAAGGTATGAAAGAACTATCATTCTCGGTTCATGAGTTGAAGAACTGGTGTGAGCTGTACTGTTGTTTTCTGTATTGACCATGTTGGCATTTTGATCGGGATACTGGAAACGCGATAACCGCATACTTTGGAGAACGATGAGCAAATTAATCCAAACTCTGGCCTACATGATTTTCGTCGTTGAGCACTACGGTCCGATAACCCATACGTGTCTACGGCATTATCATCATCATTTTCCCGTCTTTGTATTGAGGGTCGTGTTCTACTATTGGTCAATTAACAACCAAGATTGTTGGTGTTCGGGTTCACGCTCATATGACGATGTTAGTACGCGCCACATTAGAACTACGTGGGACTTAGGTTCGAATACATTTCGGTGATAATTAATCTTAGCGGGTTCTGAATAGTTTCGTGAAACTGAATGAGTTACAGATTACTTGCATACAGTCACTAAGTATAGTATTGTTGTTATATGTATCAGTAGGATACCTGGACCAACAGAACACTATAGTGTTATGTGAAAAGGGACATACCTGAGATTTAAGCGCAAGATCGATACGAACAAAATCGATTGGTTACAGTGCTTAGGAGACTGGTAGGTCCAGTCTGAAAGAAACTCGATGAAGGCATAGAAAATCGGCAGTAAAACTAGGCACATATTTTGAAGTTCACAGACTTTCTGGATACCCTGCCGGCTTAAGTGAGACCCATCAAGAGGCATGAATTATGGCATGTAGTTATAACACCAGGCAGTTGCGAAATTACCTAATAGAAGTTTAGCGTCAATAACGCGATGACAACATCTCGTCTAGAACTGAAAAACCTGGCAGTATCTCGGTTTTCGTGCTTCCTTCCAGAGGTTGTTACATATGAAGGATTATTACTTATTATTACGGTGCAGATTCATGTTAGGAGCATAACACGGGCAAAGCAGAGTAGGGTATGAAACAACCGTATTAAATACAGTTTATTCCAGGAAGCGATCGTGTGCGGAATATTACATGTGCGGAAATGCAACAATTTAGACGTGTACCTACGTCACCGAGATGTTAGTACCTACAAAATCCTGGCGATCAGCAAGTACGTTAAGCACCACTTGCTACTCAGACGTCGAAGTAAGCTTATCTTATGATGTTTGCGTTCGTGCTCGTTTACAAATTTTAAGAACTTTTCACCACGCCAGGAGTTACGCGTTTCCTGTCCGTCATCATTCGTTGGGGAATATACTTGTAGTCGATTATGGTATCCTAGCAGTTCGCACTTATTTGTTTGAAATTTGTGATGTCTTGCTAGTAACAGCTCGACCGGAGAGAATGCATATTTTCTGCTCCCCTCTGCTTTCTGCACAACTGTCCATAAACCTCAAAATCCCGGCTTAGTAAACCAACACAATTATTCTGGATTCATGTTAGTCTCATTTGTAACAGCTCGAGAGAATGCATATTTTCTGCTCCCCTCTGCTTTCTGCACAACTGTCCATAAACCTCAAAATCCCGGCTTAGTAAACCAACACAATTATTCTGGATTCATGTTAGTCTCATTTGAGTAAACGTGATCGAGCCCTGGTAGTCCACATCATAGAGATGATGTACTGGACTCCATTTTATTTCTTCTTTGAGCTCACCCGCTACGGCATACTCTTGGCCGTTGCAGAATTAGAGCCCCGGTTATCTGCTATGTGAGACCACAACTCAGCTAGCGCAAACTTTATGTATCTGATTCATCAGGTCTGAACAGGCGCAGATGTTCTCGCTTGAGTGGCCCCTCCACACTGAATATGGAAGCTTCCCAGCACGGGTTAGATGCATTTTGCATACGTCTGTTAACGAGTTTAGATAACTAAATTGTTTCATTTCATGGTCTGCCATTCACCGAGTCCTACACGTCAGGTTAATCCACTAAAACATTGCCATTTGTTTTCCAAACTCGTCAACATTCAGGGCTGATACAGTCACATATAAAGATATGAAGCGACCGGAAGTAGTGCTTAGTGTATCAGATTTGTCAATTTTTCGCCAACGCGCTACACGCGAGCACATCATCTTCATGTTTGATGACCACTCGCCTAGCGGTCTAAACATATTTCAATCACCACGGGTTCTGCGCATTTCCGTTGTCCGTGTCAATACAGGATCCCTACCACCCGATCTACTCACCACTGCGACCGGCTGCGCGAATGTACCTACTTACTCAACTAAAACAGGCAAACAACTATCTGCTCAAGCAATCTTTAAAACTTTTGTTAGTCAGTATATTGAATACTACACTCCATTAGCCAAAGAGTGAGCACATTGCAGATAGTGAAGAGCAATTTTGACATTTCCAGTGCTTATTCAAAGAAGGATAGGTCGGGCGGATAGTACCAACGTCGAGGTTTCTGGGGCTGTCATCATAATAAGTCTTGAATAATTAGCAAATGTACACTTATTTGCAAACTAATCTGGTTTTTCGAGAGACTCACCTGGAACCCAGCTGAATCTCCCGTTTGTGATGTTTTCAGGCGACTGAATGTGCTGTACCAGGCCGCCTCATATTTCAGTCGCTGCGATATTCGAGGTATCGCGATACATGTATACTCGTAATGCACTACTCATAAGGTTGCTGAAAATTCGTCGGTAACCCACGACCGGTTTCGCCTTTCTTAGGGGCTCATCAAGGTAGGCGCAGTCCCCGAGTTTCTGTCAACCTTATGTTCTACTTGAAGCCAAATTGCACGAAATTAGCGAACTACACCCGTCGTGGGCTATCGACGAATTTTCAGTAACCTTATGAGTAGTACATTACAAAGATATGGTACGGTTAACCCAAACTTAATTCAGCCTGTGCTTGCTTTTCGGTTAGTAGGTGGTCTGTGAACGGCTTCGAGATAATGCTCTCCTCAATGGCGAGTCATTCGAATGGTATTGTCGACTACCAGTCAGGAAATTCCTTATGAAGTTACGCGTAGATATGCGATGAATCCATACTATCAAATCAGTATTACCGACGATCGTTCTTGTCCCAACCTGTTCAATTTTTTGGGCACTAACCCCAGTACTATACAACTGGAGAAGCGATACCTGCTCTAGACTGATCACATCGGTTAGGCTCGTTAGTCTCCATGAAGGACTTAATTCTCGCACAACTTTACCATTGTCATCACTTTGCGTGATTTATTCACCGGAAAACATATCGACCGCTATGGTGTTGTGTTGCAGACCGATCACGTGCGCCATGGGTTTATGTGAGATGTGGGAGTAATTACTTCTCATGCAGTGGAGGCAGCAGTTGATGCCCCTGTTGCAACTGCCTAACTTCCCCGGTAACTCATTCTCCTCTCATGTAAGTGATCTGTTCAACCCTCATGCAGTGCAGCAGTTGATGTCCCTGTTGCAACTGCCTAACTTCCCCGGTAACTCATTCTCCTCTCATGTAAGTGATCTGTTCAACCAACCCAAACAAATTAGACAACCTGAAGTAGAAATATGGGAAGGAATTGGCCAACTCAATACAAAAAGCGCTACACTACGATTAGGCAATATGAGGATGTGCAATAATGGATTAGAAAGTTATGAAACAATCGCTACATATGTGCGTCACACTGTCCCATTCAAACAAGTAACGAAACTTTAGCCGATGTTTTTTCATGGGCTAAAAATACCGGTGCGTTTGCTCAAAACTATCCGACGGCCCACGGCTGGTTTCTCACTTTTTCGGGCGAATCAAGTAGGCGCAGTCCCCAAGTTTTCGTCAACATTATGTTCCACTTGAACTCATATGGCAATAAATTTGCGAATTTGCACTCATTTGCACCAAATGTAACAAGGTGAGTTCAGAATATCCAGTAACAGGTCACAGTAAAAAACAAAATATGGAAACAATAAAGGCGTCCACCCATGACCAGAGGGTGAATCAAAGCCGTGGATCCTTCTTTGACCATGACTGCTTAGGTACAGCCAACAGCGGCGAAAGATGCAATGTGAAAAGGAATGAATAATTGAAGAACGTTTGGAATCATTTGAAGAGTTGTCGTTTTCGAAGGGCTATGTAAACAGTCGGTATATTTAAATAGGCAACGATTTTAAACAAAAAGTGCCTCAGGCTAAGTGAGCTGATTACCAATTTGGTTAGGCTTTGGAGCAGACGGAGTACCTTTTCAGATTAGTCATCAAATCATCACCATCATCGACAGCATGACATCAGTTTTCAACACCGATGCTTCACTGCCGTACAACCATGATTCATTTGAAAGCCTTATTGTAAAGAAAAGAGTAGACGTGGACGGGAATGGGACTTAAGGCTAGCTTACCACAATCATTACGAGGTGCCCATACCTTCAGACATTCACTCAGGCGATCTGGATAGGAACTGACAACAAGAACGCCACTGACATCGGTTGGCGGCCATATCTTGTAGTGTCTCCAAGCAGGCACAGTGAGGATCACGCCGTCCCCATCCTGGAAAGCGAAAAATCGAAAAAATAGATTACACTCACCTACTGACCATTTAGTTCTAAATGAATCTCAGCTGAATATCTGAACAACTGAATGTGCTGCAAGAGGGCGGCCTCATATTTCGGTTAGCACCATGTCTGAGATACCACGGTATGTTTCCTTAGGTGAGACACGCCGCTCATAAAATTACTGAGGCTCCTATGACAGCCTCAACAAGAATTCCACTGAGATCGGGTGACACCCATATCTCCAGCCAGACGCGGTGGGGATCACGCGATCTCCACCCTGGAGAGCGAGTAGCACCGACAGCACCCAAACGTTTCGTAATCCCCTTCATACTCCTCTGCCAGGTCAAGGGTTGGACACCTCTCTGTTTTCATCACTCTGAGTGGGGCATGGAAAACAGCGCTCTCTTCGGCAAACGATCGTTTGGTATACGTAAAACATGTCCCAACCAACGCAGCTTCTGGTGCTGGACACATTCTTCAATGGAGGTACCCGTTACACAACCGAAAACGCGCTTTCTAACTGCCTCATTAATGATTCACCGACACCATTCTACACGAGATATGATTCTGAGACAACGATTGTCGAACACC